ATTAAACAGGGTTTTGGATAATGTAATTGCATTGCAGTGAAATGGAGAGCAAGACAAGGTCAAGATCAATCACAGACTCCTCAAAACAAAGTCAAATTTGTTGCTAATAAATGCTTTGGAAATTTTGAGAAAGGCAGTTAAAGTATGTTTTCCAGCATACAGTGAGTAAAACATTAATTCATGTTCATGTCTTGCACATTGGCTTTCTTTGTAAGATAATTATCCTCATGGTATTGGAATTTGCTAGCACTGATAACTGATAAGTTGCCATTTAACATTGGTGGTCTGATGTATTTGATATTGCAGCTCATGTGTTTGCCCATTTGTTAGGACATCATGCATTTGGGAGAAATGTGTCATGATTGCCATTTTTTCTTCATCCAGTGTCATTTAGCAAATCAATTTTGAGTTCAGAAGGTTTATCAAAAATGCTTTCAAATCTTTTATGGCAGTAGTTGATTTTCATGATACCGACAAAATACCAAATGCTTTTGGTATATCATACCGAATACCGAATCGGTTTTGGTTCGGTATCGGTATACCGAAATTTTGGTAACCGATTGACACCACTACAAAATACGAGCAATGCTAGCTAAGAAATCCTCTACTTGAACCGGCCCTACACCATCTGGACTGGCCAAGACGATGACAAGAATGGCTTTGTAAGCAATACACATTGCTTATCTGCCTGTTTTGCTAGCGATGGAACGACAAGAATATACGTGCGCTTGCTACAATCGTCAAGCTCAAACTACCCCGGCCACGTGGGTACAGTGCACAGTGGGGATTTTTCCGATCTAGCGCCTCTTAATTCAAAAAATCTTTTGTAGATTTTGTTTATTTTTTGTGTCAGTGGGGCTAAGAAATGTCTGAATTTTTCATATATGAAAACCCTTACAGACACCATGTTGAAGGAATGGTATTCTAAATAAATGTAGGAAATCAACAATGTTTTCCACACTTTTCCACTCCGAAATATATCCTATCAAATTCGCCACTTTCTCCTGCACAAGTCAACGCCTAGTTTGGCTGCCGGAACTTGCCTGAACACGGAATATTCACATTAGAGTATCTTAACGCCCCACTCTAGGAGCGCTAGGGCAAACAGCACGATATAGGTATGTTCCGGACAGAGGCGAATAATTTTACTTCGTGATTTATATGATGCATATTTTCTGAGACACATTCATTAGGAATAAGATGACAAGTGTAAATAATACATACCGTAACCTTATTAACCCTTGCACTTGTGGGGAGGGGGAGGGGGAGGGGTCGGATAATACCCCATGGTTTTCCGGCAATTACTCGCGCAAATAGCGGTCGATCGCGACGAAACTTTCGGTGACCTCGAGATCATCAATTTTACATCTAACCTGAAACTTTCATGACTCTGGCCCAACTGACCTTTGACCTGTGGCTTATTTCTCGAGACCATGTTTGGCCGGAATCGTGATTCGGCGTATGCCAGTTCACATTATCCGCGGTTTCCAGTCTTTTTGTGGTTTTAAACGCTCAAATATGTGAAATGATGTTGGTGCCATGCATTATGGTGGGTGATAAGGTCGCGTGAAGGTCAAGTCAAGGTCATTGACCTTTGATGACCTTGGTTCACTTTTTCGGGTTTTACTTGTTTCTAGGGTACTTTTTGGTGCTGATTTCGAATTTAGCAACCATTTGAATATTTACGAAGTAGTTCTGGTGCCTTCGTACCATGTTACGAAGCTATCAGTAGTAGGTGACAGTCCAGACTTGTAAACGACTCAATTTTTTTTTTTGAGTCGATTCTTTGTTTGAGTCTGGAAATTTGAATCGATTCATCAAACGACTCATGATGTTAAATTTAATTGATTCGAATCAACTCATGACTCATCAAGTTCCTCAATAAAATGATTCGAATCAACTCATGACTCGAGCAACTAGCCAACGGAATGATTCGAATCAACTCATGACTCACATTTTGATGAATCGATTCAAATCAACTCATGACTCACACGACATTTTTATTGAACTTATTTCATTCAACCCATGACTCACTATAGGCATTTGTTGATTATTTGACTCAAAGCTATGATAAAATGAATATGCCGCATACCACAATTGTATTAAGCAGCATAGTAGCCTTGACCAAAGATTCAAGCAGCAACCTAGTGGGACTAGGTACATAGGTACAGGTCACCGCTAAAGTAATGTGGGGTTCTACTGTGATCGAACAAAACATAGCGCCATTCCTTGACGGTAAGATATACCTATCGTCAAAAGCGAGGATCGCACAGCTTCGTATTTCAGATTGACAACTTTCTCTAATGTGTCACCATTCTACCTGCCACAGCATGCTCGTTATCATCGAAAAACTGAAATATCGAGCCCCTTGGAGCACCCCGGAGTCATGTTTCTGTGACCGCCACTGAACACAGAGTTGTAAACCTACGCGCGTGCATTCTACGCAATAGTAAGGAGTCATTGCTGGACCCTCCAGTAGAGAGTAGCCCTGCCATTGATGATCCGGACACCAGCATCGGCCGATAGGAGCTGCGCTCTGACAGGCGAGGAGGGGGAGGGTCTGAGGTGGGGAGGGGTTGACCGCGGGGCTACTGGCCGGTGCAGTGGGAGGGGTGGGTGGAGGTAGGGTGACAGGGACACCAGCCTCAGGGCAACAGTGAGCTTTGACCCGAGGCGTGCGAGAGCGATGCCCGATGCCATTTTGTGAAGCAGCCAGCGTGTCACGGATTCACATGGGAGCTTTGACTAAAATAACTATCAAGGCTACAGTTTTGAAGATAGAAAAAAAACAGCATTTGAGAGAAGATGTTCGTAATGAGCAGTTGTAACTTACTACAATATCAGATTTACCATTTATTTTATTTAAAATATTTGAATGAATTGATGTTTTGCATAACAATAGCCGATCAGAATACGTTAAATTTTAACCACCTGTATAGTCTAATTCTGTAAAATATTTGTGCATTGGCTTCGGTTGTCCGCCGAACTTTTTTGTTCATTGAGGGCCTCATCGACATGACCTGTATTACAAGATTTACGCTGTAGCAAAATCCTACGCTAGCTGTATGAGTAGAAATGCTGTATGACAAAGGCACGGGCGCCTGACAACTGGGGCATTCCACGATAGATCGTACCACCTTTTTCCAATTTGACACCCTCATCTCTCGGAATTTGACGAGAATCGGTCTCAGGGGGTAATCAGGGGCTCTGAATCCTCCTGTAACAATTTCAGGCTTATCAGATAAGTATTTTTTGAGTTATGGTGCATAACATTTTTTTGGATCTTGCTTTGCAGCGCTAAGTTTGGCGGGCTGTAACTCTAAGACGGATTATTCAAATGCCAAATGTTATATAACATTGAACTTGCAATGAAACAGAGATTAATATGTATTTTTGAAATTTCGAAAAATACGCTATTTTTGATATATGACATATCGAGTTTTCTTTCATTTGTATTTTTTGGACTTTGGGACCAAATTTTTTTGAATTTTTATTTCTTTAAAAAAAAATATTTGGCTCATTGTTAAGAAGTATGCAAAAAATTAGGAAGGTGTTCTTTCTATAAATGTATTTATTTTACGTCACGATAACGGTTTCGAATAGTGATTTCGGGAGGGGAGCTTACAAATGGTGTGGTAAAGCTGCCTAGTGACATCACGGGTTGCTGAAATTTCAATTCAAGTCTGAATCATCTGAAAAAGTGAAAAGAGGGTTTATTCAACCCTCTTTCCTATAAGCGCGAGGGTGAAAAAGGCTGCTTGGTTCTGACATTGTTTTGGACGCCAATGACCATAGCTGTCCGAGATGAAAGGTACAGGACGCATACATGGTGTCCTCCAGAGGTCTCACAACTTGTATATCTGGGATTTTTTCAAGGTTACATGAGGTCAGGTCGGTCACGTGACATCACTGTTATAAATCAATGGGGAAATATAAAAACTGTTATTTTGGCGCCGAGAATGATCTAAAACTATCCCACGTACATGGTATCGTGATTTCATGCACTCCTTGCAAAGTCCAATGCTTTACTTTTGCATTGTTAACCTTGCGTGACGTCATTTATGACGTCACTAGGGTCGTACGAGTTTTTCGTCAATAACTCCCGATCAAATGGAGCTAGAGAGTCGGGAAAGCCACCAATGGACTCGCGAAGACCTTCCGAATCGAATGATATGCCATATGATACCCTTTGCTCAGCTTCGTGACCTGAGGGGCTCTGACCTGACCTTGACCCGAGGTCAACTACTTAAGTTGACCTCACCCTAGCAAAAAGTATACCATTCGATGCACCTGAGCTAGGCGAACACAATGATGCCAAAATCGCGGCTCTGCGGCCATTTTTTGCGAAGTTATTTACTAAAAACCGAACCCGTAACTTCAGTCACGTGACCTGACCTCAGACGCTACCGGTTAACCTGAGACCTTAAAATCGGGTACCAATCGCTGCGACTTGTAACGGCACACACGCTCGTTTTTTCCGCGAGGCTCTAGCTCTATTAGAAGCGAAACGGCGTGCTGGGGTCGTATCAACCCCTCCGAAACCCATTTTGTTTGCGGGAAAATGAGGAACTTATAGAAAGAACACCTTTCTAATTTTTTGCATGTCGATTTACAATGACATGAAGATTATTTTGAAAAAATAAAAATGTGAAAAATTTTGGTCCCAAAAGTCATTAGAGGCAAATGAAAAAAGATTAAGGTTTTTGCTCAACAATGAAATTTTTTCTTTGGAATTTTTAAATAGTAATATTAATTTTTGATTCATCGCAAGCTTAGTGTCGTTTACTTTTTGTTGGTTGCTTAACCCGTTCTTGAGTTATAAAAGGCCATCAAACTCACCGTTACATACCGAAGTTAAAAAAATGTAATGCAATATAACTCAAAAAGTTTTGATCTGAGAAGTCTGATATTTTGCCAGGCGTCTTTGGGGCCTATGATTACCCCTAGGACCGATTTTCATTAAAATCTGAGAGATGAGGGTGACGGGTTTCAGATTCAGATTCCCTTGTCCGGGTTCAACCGGTAGTTTATTATTATCAATCCATTCCTTTCGATGCATTTAGTGCAGATAACAATAAATGAGCTAACTCGCAAATAGGTCAAAATAAACATAATTCGCCCGTATTTATAACGAACAATGTGACACTACCGATAGGTTAGGGTAAAAGGATATAGAACAGTTAGTCGTGTTAGTAGCGAGTCCATGTTATTCGTTAATGATATGGAAGGAATCGGTAGTGTCATTGTTTAAAGACCCACCGTTTTATCATACACGCAGATCGTAAGCCATACGAGGTGAAAATAACCAGTCGTCAATCATTGTAACATACGGTAGGTAAGTGGCACTGTCCATAACGTGATAGGTGGCGCCAGCAGTAATACTGGTGCCGAGAGTGTCGAAGCAATGACAATATCGGACAATGCATTACCCAATGCCGCAATGGCAGCAACACTCCTCCCCCTTTTAGCAACTCAGCGCGGAGTCAAGGCCATTATTCATCCACCAGTGCCCCCGTCGCATCCAGTTCACCGCACAGCAGAGCGTTCAGTTCGTCAGCGGCATCCCCTCTTTACCTATCAGCAGGTCGATTAGTTCATCAGTAACAGGCCAAATATGTCAGCCGCCAAGCAGACCGGCACTACACCACCCAACCAGTGGCCGCACCGCCATCACCCACTCCACTGTGGTACGGCCACGACACTCATGGAGGCTGCCATGGTCAGCTGAGCACCCAACAACCAAGTACACACAGCTCCAGTGGTCCGCAGAGCAGCACAAGCGCAGAAGTCACCTCCGCAGCCGCACCTCTGATCCCAGCTCAGTCACGCGTTCTCCCTCGTGTTCACGGTAGGACTCCTTCGCCATGGTCGTCAGCTCATCCGTACTCCAGGTCGCAGGCATCACCTATCTCCGCCAGAGTCCACCATGGCTCGGAAGACAGAGGCAGGCCACCAGCCCGGCGGCCAGGTGGGGACGGAGCCTCAGACAGCATCACTGGTTCACTGACGGCTTCACGTCAGCACTCCTCCTCCATCCTCCCAGTCAACCAGGGTCGCAACACCCATCGGTCACCGCCACAGCCCCAAGCCATGACTGGGTCCGTCAGCGCGGCTAGAGGCAGACCGTCGGCCTGACAGTCAGGTAGCCGGCCGTTACTCTCCGGCCACGCCGCCGTCGGCTCCTCAGTCAAGAGGTCAGCTGTCGAGGAGACAGCAAGGTTAGGCTCTCACGGGGACAAGGTAGGGGTTGGGGTGGGGTCACGTTCGGTAACGTGATTACCGAATGGCCTGTTGAAATTAACGGGGAATTACAATACCAAAATACCAATTTGTAATTACAATACAAAACGGGCAATTACAATACCATCAAGGTATTATATACGTCTATACGAGAAATTATCAATATAACGGGCAATTACAACATAACGTCATATAGAGTTCACACCAAACGCAATAATTCAGAAAAAAACATAAGCAACAGCGCAGCAGGGTAAAGGGCGCAGTGCTTCCTGAGGCCTGCCGCACTGCGCAAATATCAGTCTATATATCAGCAACGATGTATCACCATCGATAACCCAAGGGAAAATAGAAGTGATAAAGGGAAAAGTATAATCAAAGAATGAAGAGCTAAAAAAGGAGAAAACTAGTATGAATCAATAAAAATAACCTTAATAGATTTTTTGAAGTGGGATTTAGAGGAAGGAATGTCTCGGATATCCGGAATAAGAGGACTAATGGTTCTGTTCCAGACCCTCGGTGCTTGGTAAAATAAATTAAACAAAATGTAGTTCCTATGTTTATAATTAGGCAGCCTCTCAGCACCATCCGTGTGCACAGTTTCACAGAAATGTATGTTGCCTCTAAGATTTCGAGCCGAATGATACAGATGGAACCTCCTGGCCAATGGCCATGGTAAATGACCATGTAAGAAGTCAGGCAGCACAAGAAGAAGCTGGTACTGAAGAAGGTCAGTAATCTTCAGGAGTCTCAGCTCTCGAAATAGGGGTCCTGTATGGGCAATTCGCCCTGTTCCAGCTACTAGACGAATAGCACGTTTCTGCAGTACGATTAGCGGTTGCAAGGAAGATTCATAATTAGACCCCCAGGTAACAAGACAATAAGTGAAGTATGGGAGAATAAGAGCGTTATATAAGAGTAATACCTGCTTCCTATCAAATAAATACCTTGCCCTACTAATTATACCTAAGTTCCTACTGACAATGGATGAGACCTTTTCAATATGCGACTTAAACCTGAGGTTTTCGTCGACCAGGACACCAAGATATTTCACAGTCTGTGCCCTCTTTATATGTATATTGTTGGCCATAATACTTAGACCATCAAGAGAAGTCGACGGAGAAAATATCTGATAAAATGTTTTTGAAGCTGATAATGATAGTCGATTTGAATGTAGCCACTCTAGAATTTTAGGGAATGACACAGACACAGAAGCTTGCAAGTTATTGATGCTAGAAGCCGTATAGAAAATTGCTGTATCATCAGCAAAGAGGAGAAATTTTGCTTCAGGGGATACAGAACTAAGATCATTAATATATAAAAGAAATAGCAAGGGCCCCAAAATAGATCCCTGTGGGACCCCACATGTAACCTCCTGAGGGCCGGATGTGATGCCTTTGTATTTTAATATGTGACTTCTCTCTGAAAGATAAGACTTAAGAAGTACAAGAGAATCACCAGAAATGCCATACACCTTTAATTTAGCAAGCAATATATCTATATTTACCGTGTCGAAGGCACGAGCGAGATCTAAATAAATAGAGGTGGATATATTGCCCTTAGCAAGATTGGAAGTTATATGGTCATGCAAGAGTGCAATAGGCATATATGTAGAGTGCTTAGATCGAAATCCAAAGTCCAAATCCAAAGATTCATTGTATTCACGTTAAATCCGCTATTGCGGCTTTTCATCAACGTAACGTCAAACGTTAAAAAGAGTTGACATAGCAAAACAGATACACACAATTCAAGCACAAGCACACACATGCATACAAGTCAATCAATCATTCAGTTTGAATCACGCCCCAGCAAGTAGCGTTTCACGGCGGTTTTGAATGCTGGACGACCATTGTAACGGTGCATGAATTCGTTGTACTCCGAGACACCGCTATACAAAAGTTGCCGCCTGCCTGCCTCTGTTCGAATTCGTGGCAGCCTGAACCGGTTCGCATTTCGCGTGTTGTGACCCTGGTCGGACGCTCTGTCCAACTTGCTTGCCATCGCAGTCGGCTGTTGTGTCTCCACAATGCGGTGTACAGAGCACATTCGATGATACAGGGCCATGCCTGGTGCAGTGAGCCACTGCAGATCGCGTAACACATCCGACACTCTGTCATATTTCCTTCGCCCGCTCACAACTCGCGCGCAAAAATTCAGTATTTTCTGAACGCGGTGCAGCTCCGTAGCACCACAGGTACCGTAAACAGCGATGCAGTAGCGGAGTCGGGAAACAACGAGCGAGGTGACAATGGGCACGATTACATGGGGCGGCAGAACGTGTTTTGCGTGGTTTAAAGCTAATAATGTCCCGGTGGATCTAGAGACGAGGCGACTGACGTGGTCGTGAAATGATAGGTGCTTATCCATGACAATGCCCAGGTTAGTAACCGAGTCGGACTCACGGATGGTCGTGCCGGCGAAATTCACACTGATAGTTGGCATGCCTTTCAGCATCTGACGCGTTCCCAAGACGATGAGCTGACTTTTTGCTGCGTTGACCTTCATGTCGTGGGCGCAAAACCATGCGTATAGGGTAGACAAAGCCTGTTCAGCAGTGCATATTAGTTGTTCAAGGTCTGCACGTTTTCCCGTGACGAGAAGCTGCGTGTCGTCGGCAAATTGCACAATGTTGACACCTGGTACATGCAGACACATATCATTCACGAAGATCGAGTACAGGAGACAGCTCAGTGAACCGCCCTGAAAAACGCCAGTCGTTATGGGGAGGGATTTTGACATAACTGAGGAACCCTCGGCGTTGCGGATCATCACTTGTTGTGTATGACCGCTCGGGCCTGGTACGATCTATCGTGGAATGCCCCAACTGGGTCGAGGCAGGTGGAGGCCGGCCAGAGGTCATGCTCATATCAATCACCCTTGACCCCGTCCACCGCCCCCGGCGGATACTCAACAGTGCGCTCATTGGCTCATTGGTTTGTCTCAGTGAGTGCCAATCACAGTCAGTTCAGTGTGCGTGCTGCATGTGAGATCACAGCGAAGCACGATACTGACAAAACCCTATACTTGGAAGAGGCCTTCTGGACGGCGTTGCCAGTTAATGGGGTGGGGGGAGAAATTCGACATACAAATAAGTTTCTGAAATAAAATGGTCAGTGGATGAATAGCATAACATTTCTTTCAACGTTCACTCGTTTTCTTAAAAAAGACGAAGAGAAGAAATAACGTTGAAGCATATGACTATTAAGCGAGCCAATACTTTTTTTTAAAAATCATATTTATGGAAGGGTGCAATATAATTGCAGTCACATGGGTGTAACTTTGTATACTTTTGAGGTCCCATGTGGGACCCCAAAGCGAACATTTGGGACCCCAATTGTCATTTTGTGACCCCAATAGTGGAGGCCCCCGAGACGCACCAGGTACTTTACAAACGGAGGTCTGATGTTCATATAGAAGGTTCTCTAGAAGGTTCTCTATAAATAGGAGGCCCCTTGGACAAATCGGAGGCCCCCTGGACAAATAGGAGGCCCCCTGAACAAGTAGGAGGCCCCCTGAACAAGTAGGAGGCCCTCCGGAAAACAGGAGGCCCCCTGGAGAAATAGGAGGCTCTCTGGACAAGCAGGAGGCCTCCTGGACAAATAGGAGGCCCTAGGCAAATAAGAGGCCCCTAGACAAATAGGAGGTCCCATGGACAAATAGGAGGCCCTCTGTACAAATAAGAAGCCCCTTGAACAAATAGGAGGCCCCATGGATAAGTAGGAGGCCCTCTGTACAAATAGGAGGCCCCCTGGAAAAATAGGAGGCCCCCTGGAGAAATAGGAAGCCCTAGACCTAGACAAACAGGAGGCCACTTTCACAAAAGGAGGCCCCCTGGACAATTAGGAGCCCCTGGACAAATAGGAGGCCCCTTTCACAAAAGGAGGCCCCTGGACAATTAGGAGGCCCCTGGACAAATAGGAGGCCCCTGGATAAATAGGAGGCCCCCTGAACAAGAAGGAGGCCCCCTGGATAAAGAGAAGGCCCCCTAAAATAGGAATAGGAGCCCTCTGGATAAATAGGAGGCCGCTTGGAAAATAAGAGGCTACTTTAACTAATAGGACGCCCCCTGGACAAATAGGAGGCCCCCTGAACAAGTAGGAGGCCCGCTGGATATATAGGAGGCCTCTTGGGCAAATAGGAGGCCCCCTAGAAATATAGCAGGCCCCTTGGACAAATAGGGGGCCCCCTGGACAAATAGGAGGCCCCCTGTACAAATAGGGGCATCTTGAACAAATAGGAGGCCCCATGGACAAGTAGGAGCTAGAAGCCCTCTGTACGAATAGGAGGCCCCTATACAAATAAAAGGCTCCCTTAATAAAAAGGAGGCCCTTCAAAAAAGGAGGCCCCTGGACAAGTAGGAGACCCCTGCACAAATATGAGACCCCTGGTCGAATAGAAGACCCCTGGGTAATCGCCCACTATCATGGAACATGTTGTTCGATGATGTAGAGATGCCAGGGTCAGGGTCAAGGTCAACCTGGGTCATCTAATCATTGGATTCGTCTCTTTCCAAAGAATCTGTTGCTCTTGACCGCGAAGCTTAAAATCTTGTAAGAAAAAATTGTGGTGATGTCGAATAAAATACCTACACAAGCAGCGGGCCAACCCATGATATACCGATGACGCTGCCGTATTAGTGCCAAGCCAGCTAGAACAGCTCTTTGTCACACTATCCGACTAATTTGCTGGCTGTGGTCATTTCACGTCAAGTTAGGTCAAGGTCAATGATATGTGTTTGTATGTCTGTGTATGTCTGTGTATGTACTGATGTGTGCACAGATTGGTTTGTGTGTCCCTGCCTATTACATGAGATCATGAACTGAGAAGCTTTTACTAAACATGCAGTCGAAGAAAATTCACGAAAAGTAAATTCAGAGCGCTGTTCGGCAGCCGGCTATTTTGTGTGCAGGGTATGACGTATTTCGCGAGCCGACGTCACAGGCGATGACGTCGGCTCGCGCG